TCTCTTCTGCCGCCGTGCCAGATTGCCATTTAACGCCACTTAAATTTATTTACATTTTCCTTTAATAATTGGGAATTTCATTTGTGCTTATATTTATTTATTTATGATATTTATCGCCAACATCCTGCTTAGTTTCATAGATAGTGTGGAGTCAGTGGTTGCCGCCCCCGAGGAGCTCACATTCTACGCAGTCATGTAGTATTCATGTGGTGATGGTCCTCAGGGGTCAAATGGGGTCAAACTGAGGGAGCAGGGTAGGGACCCAAGGAACACCCCCGGGGTGTCCACTGGAGGTTGGAGAGCCTTTAGGGCTTATTGACACCAACCCCCAACTATTACCCCTTTAGCTGCAGAGACAGCCATGCCCTGACCGCAATGCCAGGGTGGAATTATAGCCCCTGTCGCTTTTGGTAGGCATGGTGCCCACCAAGCACAACACATTCAGGTAAAAAGGACCCCTCTGCATGTGCCCTGCAATATGTATGGTTGTGGCGCTCTAGTAGGGGATTCAAGGGGCAAATAAATGTACACAAAGTTCACACTCCAGGTATGGCACTCTCAGTGGTGTACTTAGGTTTCGTGCTGCCCTAGGAAACTCCCCCATGGAGAGAGACACTGATGCTGACAAACACCCACCTCCCCCATGATAAGAGCCTGACACTACCACCTTCCCATACACACTGGCAACCAGGGGCGACCATTTGGAAACTCGGGCACTGCCCGAGGGCCCGGGGTCAGTAGGGGGCCCCACGAGATGCCCCTGGTACCTTTTTCATAGGTTTTTTTGAGTTTGGGCAAGGACACAGGGGCCCCATGATCTCCTATTGCCTGGGGGCTCCATGAGTTGTCAGTCCACCCCTGCTGGCAACCCCCCACCCTGGCGAGAGAGAAGACACCTTCACAGCTCCGGATAACCTCGGGAACAAGAGTCGAGCTCTGTATAAACCATCAAGCAACCTGCAGCCTCTCTCAGATCCCACCTGGTCCCCATGCTGCGTGTGTCCTTTCTTCCATCCCTTCTTTCGGGGACTGCCTCCCTGAAAAATGCTGCTGCCCCCCTGAAAAATGCTACTGCCCCCCTGAAAAAATTCCGCCCTAGGCAAATGCCTTGTTTGCCTTGCAGTAAATACGCCCCTTGGCACTCTGCCTGGCAGTCCAGTCCTCATGGAACCAAAATGGACAATTATTGCATCTTGAACCACCAAATGGCTACTGTAGATTTCCACCAACTAGAGCCACCAATGTACAGTATACCCGGAAGCCTTGCTGCCTTCTTTGGTTCAGTATGACCAAAGCTATAACACAAACATATAAGGAAGGCACACAGCCTAGTGCATTACTGTAAAACTCTTTTAATAAATTGTAATAATAAATCCAAAAGACTCACAAAAGGAGAATAACATAGACCTCAAGGAAGAGGGCAATGGCCCTCAAAACACGTTAGATGCACCCTACTTGATGAACATACGTCTGGCGGCATGTTTGTTATATATCAATGCCTTTGTCATTCACCTTTTGTGAGTATATTGGATTTCTTTTTACAGTTTATTAAAATAGTTTTACAATGATGCACTAGGCTGGTGCGCCTTCTTCATATGTTTGTGTAGGGGATTCAAGGGGTTAAAGCAGGTGGTGAGGAGATGATACAATGCTCTCTGAAGAGTGTTTCAAATGTGTATTACTCTGTATTTACTGTCACAGTGGCCACATGAGTGGGAGCCAGTCCCACCAGCTACCGGACTTTGACAGCTCAATCTCTGTGATGGGCGTGTGCATTGAGCGCGCTCCTAGCCCAGAAACATCAGCCCTCCAGTGATGCATATGTGATACCCACCCTCTATCACATGGTCATTAAAGCCCACCTTCTATCACATGGGCATTAAAGCCCACCCTCTATCACATGGTCATTAAAGCCCTCCTTCTATCACATGGGCATTAAAGCCCACCCTCTAACATATGGGCATCAAGGCCCACCCTCTAGCATATAGGAATTAAATCCCACGCTCTAGCACATAGGCATTAAGGCCCACCCTCTACCATATGGCCAGTAAGACTCACTCTCTAGCATATGAGCATTAAGGCCCACCCTCTAGCATATGGACATTAAAGCCCTTCCTCTAGCACATGGGCATTAAAGCCCACCCTCTAGCACATGTGCATTAAAGCCCTTCCTCTAGCACATGGGCATTAAAGCCCACTCTCTAGCACATGGGCATTAAAGCCCACCCTCTATCACATGGGCATTAAATCCCATCTTCTATCACATGGGCATTAAAGCCCACCCTTTATCACATGGGCATTATGGCCCACCCTCTAGCATATGGGCATCAAGGCCCACCCTCTAGCATATAGGAATTAAAGCCCACCCTCTAGCACATGGGCATTAAGGCCCACCCTCTACAATATGGCCAGTAAGACTCACCCTCTAGCACATGGTCATTAAAGCTCTCTCTCTAGCACATGGGCATTAAAGCCCACTCTCTAGTATATGGGCATAGAGGCCCACCCTCTAGCCCATGGGCATTGAAGCCCACCCTCTAGTACATGGGCATTAAAGCCCACCCTCTTGCTGCGGCACATATGTGTTATGTGGGTGGCAACAGGTTAAAGTTTATATGAAAGTTTAGTGTCTGGGTTTAAGTCTAGATTATGTTTTCTTCCCCAGGATAGAACATATATACAGGTAAATGGTAACTTTACATTTTTATGACTCTACCAATGACTTCTAAGTCTGATTTTTTTTTCTTCTGTTAAGCAGATCCGGTCTTTCTTGGTGTCCGGGTCGAAAAATGTGAAGCAGCAGAGTAGTTATCATTATGTAAAGGTTTCATAACTCAGGTGAGGCGCTCATCGCATTGACCGCTCGCGGAATGGATCGCCCTCACATGTGTAGACGAAGATGCATCTGTGTTGCTTTTGTCCTAGAACAAAGGAAACCTTTGCAGCATCCGCCATAAATCATACCTATTGCCTTCTAAACACCTCGAATTGTTATCACAAATCATGTGCAAATGAAGCCAGCTGGAAGCCCCAAGGGAAGGGAGGAGGGGGGTGACGATCCATTCATCAGCCCAAATGCTTCTCTTTTGCTTTAGTTCCAATCCTGGATGCCATTCCTAAGTATAGACAGGATTAATCATAGTGGAGGAAGGAGGGGACCGCTGTCCATGGTGCTGAAATCCAATGGAAGGGCAAAAAACCCCCACCATGAACAGTACTGTCCATGGTGCTGAAATCCAATGGAAGGGCAAAAAAAACCACCATGAACAGTGCTGTCCAAGGTGCTGAAATCCAATGGAAGGGCAAAAAAAACCACCATGAACAGTACTGTCCAAGGTGCTGAAATCCAATGGAAGGGCAAAAAAAAAAAACCCTATGAACAGTGCTGTCCAAGGTGCTGAAAAAATGGAAGGGCAAAAAAATCCAACAAGAACAGTGCTGTCCAAGGTGCTGAAATCTATTTGGAAAGGCAAAAAAAAAACAAGAACAGTGCTGTTCATAGTACTGATTTCCAATGGATGGGCAAAAAAAAACAAGAACAATGCTGTCCAAGGTGCTGAAATATAATGGCATGGCTTTACCAGAGGGCAAAAAATTGGGCTGCCTTCTGAAAAAAAGGAAGATCATAGAGGATCATACTAATTAATTCTTATTTTTTTTTTATTATTATTATTATTATTATCATCATTTATTTTTAAATTAATTTAAATGGAAGGGAAAAAATCAAGAACAGCGCTGTCCCAAGGTGCAGAAATTCAATGGAAGGCCAAAAACCAAGAACAGTGCTATCCAAGGTGCAGAAATCTAATGGAAGGGCAAAAAAAAACCCAAGAACAGTACTGTCCATGGTACTGAATTCCAATGGAAAGGCGGGAACAGTGCTGTCCAAGGTGCTGAAATCCAATGGAAGGACAAAAACATGTACAGTGCTGTCCAAGGTGCTGAAATCCAATGGGAAAGCAAAAAAAACAAGAACAGTGATGTCCATGGTACTGAATTCCAATGGATAAGCAAAGCAAAACCAAGAACAGTGCTGTTCAAGGGTTCAAGGTGCTGAAATCCAATGGCATGGGCAAAAGGGCAAAAAATGGGGCTGCCTTCCGAAAAAAAAAAAGTAAGATCATAGAGGATCATACTAATTAATTCTTATTTTATTATTATTATTATTATTATTACTATTATCATTTATTTTTAAATTAATTTAAATGGAAGGGCAAAAACCAAGAACAGTGCTGTCCAAGGTGCTGAAATCCAGTGCAAAGGCAAAAAAAAAAAAAAGAACAGTGCTGTCCAAGGTGCTGAAATCCAATGGAAAGGCAAAAAAGCAAGAACAGTGATGTCCATGATACTGAATTCCAATGGAAGGGCAAAAACAAGAACTGTGCTGTCCTAGGTGCTGAAATCCTGATGCTGATTGGTTACCATGGACAGCTGCATGAGATTTTGCACCCTCTAGTTTTAGTAAATCAACCCCATTGTCTTCCTACATTTCAAAAAGCTGGAAAAACATCCTCTGTACTGAAATTCTCCGAAGTAACATTGCACTGGATTCAACTTCTGTGTCTTTTTGAATAGTGAAACTGCCTGTGGATGGTGCCATGTCAGCAGGTGACCATACTGTCTGGATAGACTGGGTTTAGGGAAAGCCATAGGGGTTAATTTACCCAAACCAAGGAGTGCAAAATCTGGTGCAGCTCTGCACAGAAACCAATCAGCTTCCATGTTTTCTTTTGTCAAAGCGTAATTGAACGAGCTGAAGTTAGAAGCTGATTGGCTACCATGGACAGCTGCATCAGATTTTGCGCCCTCTAGTTTTAGTAAATCAACCCCATTGCCTTCCTGCATTTCAAAAAGCTGTAAAAACATCCTCTATACTGCAATTCTCCGAAGTAACATTGCACTGGATTCAACTTTAGTGTCTTATTGAAGAGCGAAACTGCCTGTGGATGGTGCCAAGTCAGCAGATGACCATACTGTCTGCACAGACTGGGTTTAGGGATCCCTGGCGGTATTCCCGAGTGTAGCTCGGGGTAAAGTTTCAGCACCACAAGTGGTAACCCCGAGCTACACTCGGGAATACTCTGCAGCGTTGTTCCGGGATCCCTTCTGTACTTACCTTGTCCTGCGCTCCCGCAATGTCCCTCCTGCAGTGTCCCCTGTAATGTCCTCCGGCCGATGCCGGCATCTGTCTTCCGGGTTCCGTTCCCTGCGAACGTCGGGGGCACGTACGGGGGACAGAACTGGTGCGAAATTCAAAAAACTAAAATGTATTCCAAAAAACTAGTGACATTCACTCAATACACTAAAATCACATAGTATAACATTCCTGTATCAAACCATTTTTTCACATACATTTTGTCCCGAGTGCTTTGTCCGGCGCCCTGCCTGCATTTTTACCACCCATTCTGCCTGGAAACTGAGAAACGTCCATGGCGTCCAAAAAGCGTCCCTTTAGGTCAGACGCGGTTTTAGACCGGCTAGAGAACAGCGATAGTAAATCAGAACCACTTGCAGAATTGAGTGATAATGATTGGTGGGGGAAATTCCTCATCAGACACTGAAAACGATTCTGCGACTGAGCTCAGCGATGTGCGAACTTGGCGCTCTATTTCACATTTCAGTGTTTTTGGTTTGATTATATTATTGAATTAAATTTATTATTATATTATTATTATTTTTTATTATTATTTATTAAATTATCATTTATGATTTTGTGTTTCAAGTTTTATCATCCCCGGGATGTTTACTAGACTCTTGTTCGGACAGATTTCAGTGAGTTATTCCTAAAAATTACAGGCCTACAATAAAAAAAACAACATATTTCCATGCAAAAAAAATGTACCGCTTTGAGCACAGAAATATGTACATCATCAGACCGCTAGGAAGGTTAATGCATGAAAAGGGTTTTGAAGGAGAACAGACGCAGTATTATAGAGTGTTTTTGATGTTCACCATTCTGGAAACTTCCAGCCACCGTCCCTTCGTACGTATTGCAATAGTTAGCAAAGTTCCACCAAAAAGATCAAAAAAAAGAATTTCACGCCTATATTTTATTATTAGTCTTTCCCATTTATAGAATAAACCATTTTTTTTAAATAATGTGATTTTATATAATGTCCCTTTTATTGGCTGATTAATGTGGCTAAAGCAGCACTTAAGGCATGCTAAAATGGCCTCTGAAGAAATCAATGATATAATCACTTAAGAGGATGCTCTGGCAAGCCGTAAGTGTTTTCATCCCTTGATGGATCATAGCCTGTGTCTCCGTACTCCATGCTGAAATCACTTGTGTGGTGCTTGACCTGCTGACCGCACCAATCATCTGATGAGGCTGAGGTTAATGCATACATACCTAGGCATCCTGTACATTGACAGTGGCAAGAAAAAGTATGTGAACCCCTTGGAAATAACTGGTTTTCTGCAGTAATTTGTCATAAGAGGTGATCTGATCCTCATCAAAGCCACACATATAGGGAAACACAAGTGCTTAACCACTTGACCTCCGGAAGATTTCCCCCCCCCCCCCCCCCCCCCTTCATGGACAGCAGCATTGTCAGTCTGGCCGGGAGGGGAGTGTTACAAGTACTAGCAGATTTACATACACTAACAAATTGAAGCCAAACTCCAGCTCACAGTTTATAATCAGTTACAGCAAACAGTGCTTTTCCTTTTAGGATAAATGTTTGACGTTAATAAATAAATCATTGTAAGCAAAATCCTCTCTTGTATTAGGAGAGGTATAGACTCCAGAGAGATATCACCCCCCCCCCCCTTCCTGGGACAAATAATTAGTAATACCTCATCTGGAATATGCAGTTCAGTTTCGGGCTCCAATTCACAAAAAGAACATTGGGGAACTGGAGAAAGTACAGAGAAGGGCAACCAAACTGATAAGAGGCATGGAGGAGATCAGCTATGAGGAAAGATTAGAGGAACTGAATGTGTTCTCTACTAAGAAGAGGAGATTAAGGGGGATATGATCTCCATGTATAATACATAAGGGGGGGATATGATCTCCATGTATAATACATAAGGGGGGGATATGATCTCCATGTATAATACATAAGGGGGATATGATCTCCATGTATAATACATAAGGGGGGGATATGATCTCCATGTATAATACATAAGGGGGGATATGATCACCATGTATAATACATAAGGGGGGATATGATCTCCATGTATAATACATAAGGGGGATATGATCTCCATGTATAATACATAAGGGGGGATATGATCTCCATGTATAATACATAAGGGGGGGATATGATCTCCATGTATAATACATAAGGGGGGATATGATCTCCATGTATAATACATAAGGGGGGATATGATCTCCATGTATAATACATAAGGGGGGATATGATCTCCATGTATAATACATAAGGGGGGGATATGATCTCCATGTATAATACATAAGGGGGGATATGATCTCCATGTATAATACATAAGGGGGGATATGATCTCCATGTATAATACATAAGGGGGGATATGATCTCCATGTATAATACATAAGGGGGGGATATGATCTCCATGTATAATACATAAGGGGGGATATGATCACCATGTATAATACATAAGGGGGGGGGATATGATCACCATGTATAATAATACATAAGGGGGGGGGATATGATCACCATGTATAATACATAAGGGGGGGGGATATGATCTCCATGTATAATACATAAGGGGGGGGGGGATATGATCTCCATGTATAATACATAAGGGGGGGTATGATCACCATGTATAATACATAAGGGGGGATATGTTCTCCACGTATAATACATAAGGGGGGATCTGATCTCCATGTATAATACATAAGGGGGGGGATCTGATCTCCATGTATAATACATAAGGGGGGGATATGATCTCCATGTATAATACATAAGGGGGGGATCTGATCTCCATGTATAATACACATAAGGGGGGATATGATCTCCATGTACAATACATAAGGGGGATATGATCTCCATGTATAATACATAAGGGGGGATATGATCTCCATGTATAATACATAAGGGGGGGGATATGATCTCCATGTATAATACATAAGGGGGATATGATCTCCATGTATAATACATAAGGGGGGATATGATCTCCATGTATAAATACATAAGGGGGGATATGATCTCCATGTATAATACATAAGGGGGGATATGATCTCCATGTATAATACATAAGGGGGGATATGATCGCCATGTATAATACATAAGGGGGGATATGATCTCCATGTATAATACATAAGGGGGGATATGATCTCCATGTATAATACATAAGGGGGGGATATGATCTCCATGTATAATACATAAGGGGGGATATGATCTCCATGTATAATACATAAGGGGGATATGATCTCCATGTATAATACATAAGGGGGGGATATGATTTCCATGTATAATACATAAGGGGGGATATGATCTCCATGTATAATACATAAGGGGGGGATATGATCTCCATGTATAATACATAAGGGGGGGATATGTTCTCCATGTATAATACATAAGGAGGAATATGATCTCCATGTATAATACATAAGGGGGGATATGATCTCCATGTATAATACATAAGGGGGGATATGATCTCCATGTATAATACATAAGGGGGGATATGATCTCCATGTATAATACATAAGGGGGGATATGATCTCCATGTATAATACATAAGGGGGGATATGATCACCATGTATAATACATAAGGGGAGATATGATCTCCATGTATAATATATAAGGGGGGGATATGATCTCCATGTATAATACATAAGGGGGGATATGATCTCCATGTATAATACATAAGGGGGGATATGATCTCCATGTATAATACATAAGAGGGGATATGATCTCCATGTATAATACATAAGAGGGGGATATGATCTCCATGTATAATACATAAGGGGGATATGATCTCCATGTATAATACATAAGGGGGATATGATCTCCATGTATAATACATAAGGGGGGATGTGATATCCATGTATATGCATACTTTTTCTTGCCGCCGTATCTGATTACTTCACAGCTCCTTTTTTTTTTTGCATCAAGTTATTTTTTTCTTTTTGCCGGTGAATGGTGATACTGTACACTTTAATACCATTGTCCTCCGGGGTATCAATGTCAGGGTTATCCGGCCTCATTTCCAATGTATGAATTTATTCTGGGGCCGGGAGAGGAAACCCTTTCTTACCTTTTGTTCAGTTTCTCGGTAATCATAACTTCTAACAATCCCATTGAATGATACGGAAAATTCCCGGAGGTAATATGATAAAGAAAACAGTTCTGTGTTATACAAGAAAGAGTCTTGTATTCAGCTTCAGACATCACAGCTCCGTATTGGACTCCCTGTATATAATGTTCATGTATATTGGTCTAACTCAATGAGCAATATAATCTATTACACGCTCCAGTACCACCCATATTTATAAATTGCACACTCTAGTACACCTTATATACAGTATATTACGGCCATACTGCACATTGTACATCCCATATCCGTACATTTCACACCCCTGTGCACCTACACTCACCGGCCACATTATTAGGTACACCTGTTCAATTGTTTGGTAACACACATTGCTAATCAGTCAATCACATGACAGCAACTCAACACATTTAGGCATCTAGACGTGGTGAAGACGACTTGATAAAGTTCAGAATGTGACATTCAGATGGTAGGGTCAGAAAATGGCATAAACAACATGAAATCATGGATCCATCCTGCCTTGGATCTATGGCTCAGGCTGGTGGTGGTCTCATGGTGTAGTGGATCCATCCTGCCTTGGATCCATGGCTCAGGCTGGTGGTGGTGTCATGGTGTGGTTGATCCATCCTGCCTTGGATCTATGGCTCAGGCTGGTGGTGGTGGTGTCATGGTGTGGTGGATCCATCCTGCCTTGGATCCATGGCTCAGGCTGGTGGTGGTGTCATGGTGTGGTTGATCCATCCTGCCTTGGATCTATGGCTCAGGCTGGTGGTGGTGGTGTCATGGTGTGGTGGATCCATCCTGCCTTGTAGCCTTTTGCATAGTAGGTTGTAGGGGTCAGATGTGGAAGATCTGCGGGTTCCTTAGCCCTCCCCCGTGGTGTACATAATAGTGAGGTAAAGTTTGGTCTGTGTATAGTTAGGCCATATAGGCCGTAAGCAGTGGATATATATGGAAATTGCATATGGTTCTGTTTCATGTTTTGAGCCATAAAGGCCTTTCTATAATTTTTTTGGTCTCGGCCATACAGGCCTTGTGTATATATTGTATATAGTTTTTTTGTTTTTTTTTTCCCCCAGGTTATGGACTTTTATGTTGGGCCGTAGAGGCCATTATTTTGAGGTTCCTTTTCAGGACTTGGACTCTGGCTGAGGTACA